AGCAGATCAAACCTACTAACTCCAGAATAAAGGTGTATCTATACAAGAGTTTAGTGAAACTCTCTTTTCACGTGTCAGACACTCTGGTGGGTGGGCAGCAGTTTTCCAAAACACAATTCCTGCTCAAATAAGTACACAGCAACCAGTATGACATAATATTTGCTTTGTTTAGAATGTGGTGCATAGCTTGTACCTCTGGCAAAATAGGAGACGCTTGTTTTTGGCAACCAATAGTTCTGCAGTTGCCGACTTCAGCTGCTGAGCGTTTGCTTTTTAATCCAATAGGCTGTCTGTCATCGTGATTTCAAACTATCCTTCCTTTATTCCTGGGCATTTAAGGTAACTTTTTCTTTTAAGAAATCAAGCCTCTCTTAATCATCATTCCTTTGAAGAAAGCAGAGACCTCCCTGCCCCTGCTGTGCCCATTTAACATTTTGTCCAAGTTCTAGTCACTTTCACAATTGGACCTTACAAAACCATCTTATCAAACAGAGCAGTCTTGTCAAGTCTTGAAGCCTTGATTTTCCCTGCTAATATAAGTAGCAAGAATCTTCCCCTAGCAGTGATCCGCTTCTAATGCTGCCCAATACGTAGAAGGCGTAATTACACAAAAGCCCCATTGTGAAAGCAACTAGGGAACACACTTTTGAGGGATAATAGCATGAAGACAGGTTGGGATGTTATCATGTATTCTGTGAGTGAAACAGTTGTCACACTGACAGAGTAAAACACTCATGGAGATCACTCAACACAGCTGTTTCTACAGTTTATGGAATGAGTTTCCATATGCTCATTCAGACACGAGAGAAATGCAAATCAAAAAGCATTTATCTTGCCTCTCTGTTTTTTCCAGAATAAGGGCAGGATTTAGTGGGAGGTCTCTGGATATTTGCAATGTGCTCCTAAGGGTTTCTGATATTTAACAGCCTCCCCAAAGGAAATGAGGCTGTGATCCAAGCTCTGCCCATTTTGTATGTGCATATATGTACGTATATACACAAAAGGCTTGGACTTCAATGCCACCTTTTCCATTTCTTTCTCTTTTGGCCCACTTTGGACACTGTAATAAGAAGTAATGTAACACCAGACTATTTCTGTAAAAGAATTGTTTGATCCTGTGAAATCACTATGTTCGAAAAATTAACAACAATGCCTATTTATATTAGTACTGAAACAACAATGCATTTTCTTTCAGGCCATCTCAATTAATGATTGGGTTCACACAATATTTCAACCAAGGTTTACCTAAATATGATTTGTTGACTAAGCGACAGTTGGCTGGGTTTACAGTGTAACACATGGTGCTGTCATAAATCACGACTTATAAATCTCAAAGTCTGGATTCACATATCACAGTAAATTTTATAAGCTCATTATGATTTTACACCGTGAGTGGATCAGGCCTCTGTCTTTGATTCTGGAGGCCAGGTTAACTCCTATCTTAATTACCTTTGGAAACTAGTGAAAATGGAACCTATCTGCAGAGAGCATTGGGGGGATGATGAATGGGCTCCACCCGAGCTACTATTTCATTAGTTTGAGTTTTATACCTTGTTTTTATTGTTGTATACTGTGGGGAGTCTGTGCAGCTTACAGCAGTATATTAAATGGATAAATAAGTAAATAAATATTGGTGGAGTTCATACAACTTGCTAAGACATCAGCTGTGCTTTGCAAAACACAGTGACTGAGCTCACATCGCAATTCTTTCTGCATCTGTTTAATAAAATCTGATTGGATCTCATTTCTGTAAACTCATGCGTGAAACCCTATGTGTATGTACACACAGATTCACAGATTGGGTCTTCAGGGAACAGGTAAGATTTCACAAAGGGAATAATTCTTTGGAGGGATAAGGAGACAGAGATTCCTACCCGTATATTCTATTCTCACAGTATACTTAATTGAGCCAGGGAGAGGAGGTGGAGGTTAGTATGTCATGATAACAGAAAAAATAAGATAATCAACTCAGTCATTTAATCCTGAGGAAGTTAAATTTAATCCCAAACAGATATAGTCAAGATTAGGGCAAGACTAAAATCTTTATTCCTGACATCTCTTTTTCTATATGAAGGCATTTCCTCTTAGCATTCAATTATGTCAGTCCAGGACAAGAGAAAACAACTGGGCCTTAATTTCTTCAATATTCTTCTGGCGCCTTCTTGTAACTATCTAATCATTTCTTATCCAATCTGTTTCTGTCTCTGACAAAGAAGATGTGTAGGGAGTAAGCTCTGAAAGATCAAGTTCAATTTGGCACAGTGATTTTTAATTAATTATTATTATTGTTGCATCAGTCCTCTCCAAACACCAGTCTTTGTAGAAGAGGTGTAAAATCCACTTGGCATCCACAGCCTGAAATTCATGGCATGGTTGCGTGTATTAACGTCAACTGGTGCTTAAGGTAATGTGACTTCCTGGAATTGTTGGAGCGCTGAACAAGGTGAACCTCAGTATCAATGCCTGGTTAAAATGCTGAATGCTGCATGAGATGACCACATAATACTAAAAGCAAATGGAATTTTAAGAGTTAAATTGCTAAAGTCTGCAACCCTATTTAAAACTTTTCATGTAACTATGCCATAAGTAGAGTAAACAAACTCCCTATAGATGTTTTGGACTATAGACCCCAGGGTCTGTAACTGTTGGAGTTATTACTGTTTGCAGGAGCTGCTGTCCAAAACATCCAGCGGCCACCGGATTAGCTATTCCGGCCTTGAAAAGATGCCTAGAGCAAAACCATTTCGCCTGCTTTTGTCTGAGGCATCGCTGCACATCCTAAGAATCTCTCTCAGTTTTGCATTCTTTCAAGGATCAAACTTTGGCTCCGATTAATCCCCGTGCCTGCCTTTGGACAGGTGGGGCAGGTGCTAAACCACCGCAGGACAAATTGCAAATTCCGAGAAAGATCTGCAGCTGTCGGCGGCCGCCTTGATCGGGTCTGGTCTTTTAAAAAAATCTCTCCATCCCCCACCCCCGCCTTTCTTCAAACAGCTGAAAGACAAAGACTCGGTGCGGCAGCTCCAAAGAAGAGCAAAGAGGGAGTGGGCGGAAGAGCTGATAAGAGAGCAGCCAATCCGAGAACCCGTGCGCGCTGAGGTTCACGCTGATTGGCTGCGAGAAAAGCACAAGGGATGCCTTTATAGTCGCGGGGCGCGAGCCGAGGAGGGGACGTGTGGATGGGTGGGTGTTTTTCCCCGAGCGTCCTTCCCTGCGTGGCAGCGGTTCGCAGCAGAGGTGGCAAGGGATGGGGCCTGTTGGTGTAGGTGGGTGAAGTACCTCAAGCTTTTGAGAGTTTCCCCTCCGCCTTCCCCCTCGGTTTTGGGAGCTGGGACCCTTGGCGGGAGAGGGGATGGAAGGGGGGGCGAAGGGGCTGCAAAACTGAGGGAGGTGGGAAGTCTCGCGCATTAGCTGGGGATCCTTCAGCTCTGCTCCGCGAGGGTCCTAGTTCCTGCTGCAGCATGAGAATTAGAATGAATTTATGACTTTCTTAATTCTTGAGGGCAAAGGCATTTTATTTCACTTGGCATTTTTATAGCTAGTCGGGATTTGAAGCGTGCATGCTGGGAGGGTAGCTTGCGTGCTCTGTTCAGATGTTATGCTGGTGTGTGTGTGTGTACACATACATTCACACACATTGGTGTTCTCTGCTGTACTTCACTATTGTATGTGTTGTGTGGCTGTTGTAATGGGTTACTCTTATCATCTCTTCAGCTCTCCAATTATTGCTTAGCTTACACATCTAAAAAAAAAAGTTGTAGAGGAATACAGAGCTAGTTTTGATTCTCTTTAATGTAAGGGGGATGGTGGTGGTAGAGGGAAACTGAGTCAGGCTGTCAAGATTCAGCTATTATACCCTATAACAATAGTGTTGCAGTAGTCCTGGCGGTGTCTGTTTCCCATCCTGCCCTACCTTGAAGGGCAGGATAGTTTTTCCCAACCTGGTTGCTTCCCAATGCACCAAGCAATACAGCTTCTGGAATATGGGTGTCCCATATTCTCCCCAAAGACCTAGGAACAGTTTTAGGGTGCTGAGGATAAACTGAGAAAACACCCCAATCAGCTTATATCTCCGAGCATTTTATTGCATGGCTAGATAACACACATACATATGCACATGTGGACACACACGCACACAGAGTTTTAAATGTGTAGTACAGAGTTCATAGGGTTTACCCCACTTTGTAGGGTTGTAGTGAAGATTAAAGTCTCCAGGGCAGTTTGAGCACAGAGGGAAGATCCTTGTCATAAGATTCCCTGCCTTAGAGAAGACTTGAAATCTCTGGGGAGGCAAGAAATACATTTGAAAGAAGGGATGGTCTTTCAGGTATCTCTGTGAAAGTAATTGTTGTTTAGTGGATATGTGGATGTTATGTTTTATTCTCAAAAGTCTGCTTTGGAAAATGGTTCCTTTTGCTTCTCTTGGCTCACAGGTTGTGGCGGTGGTCAGCTTCATTTTCTCCTGATCTTTACTCTTTGCAGGGTAGTCCAGATGCTGCGGTGCCACCCACTGATGCCATGACACAGACGTTCCCAGCTCAGTACCCACCGCCGCCACCCCAGGCCCGGCTCCCCCCACAGTACCATCTCCACAGTACCCCTTCGGAGTACCCATCTCCAACTGCCCTGGATCACAGCCTGCGCATCTTCCCTGAGCAGGGAACAACTGCGCCGGAGCCTTTACCGTTGCCTCCACCTCCTGCCGTAAGTGAAGGGTTGGTGGCCTAGCCCTCATGAAGGAAGTGCCAAGGCTGAGGGCCACCTCTGGGCTGGTTGGGGAACTCAACTGTAGGTCCCAGCCTACGTGATAACTCTGATAATTTCTCGGGTATTCCTCAAGAACATTCTGGAGCTAGAACAAGGTTTCTAAAAAACAAGGGTTTTTTTTTTGCATTCTCTCTGGCAGAGAAAACAAGTCATGCTAAGAAGGGAATTGGATGGCCTACATTCCATTTCTATCACATCCTCTTCCTGCATCTCTGTATTTGGACCCCAGTGTGTCATATTATCCCAGCTATCAAAATTCCCTGCTTCTTTATGAAAGGGATAGCACAGTGTTTCTCAACCTTGACAATTTTAAGATGTGTGGACTTCAATTCCCAGAAATCCCCATGCTGGCTAGGGAATTCTGGGAGTTGAAGTCCACACATCTTAAAGTTGTCAAGGTTGAGAAACACTAGGATAGCATCTATCACAGTGGCGTGTTTGGTGGCTGGGTTTCCTGAAAGGTAGGGGGGATTTAGGATTTAACATGGGAATGGATTAAAGTAGGACTCCGACATACCCAAGGTTTGGCACACAAGACTTTGCTTAACCCACAGCTTCCTAGAATGCTTGGGTCTGTCTTATATCCCCAAACCCTTTGGATTTCCATGATTGAGCCTTGGTATAGATGAAGCAGTAGAGAAGAGCATCTCTGACCATGGGCAGAAACTCTGCTCTTATGACCCCAAAGTTAACCAGAACCAGCTCCTCTCATTTCTAGAGTCCAGGGGTGACTGAGGATGAACAGAATAGTCAAATGGTGTACCTTCAGAGCCAGAAAAGACTTGCACTTTTCATTTTGTAAAAGAAGCATGGAATAACCATCACATGTCTGTGAGGTTCTGTTGCGTGTAAATGTTACTGAGCCTTTTTGCAATAGCATAGTTATAGTAGGTGGTCGGACCATCCTTGGTTTGGATACATTTCAATCAATAAGGAAATTCTCTCTCGCAGCCCTCCAGGATTATGCACCACCTCCTGGATTTCCTTTTCCTTTCACTTCCTGTCTGCCTATCTAGAAAATTGCTCCTTTCCCAAGGATTGATTGATTTATTAGTTTTGTACCCATCCTTTCATTGAGGAGGTCAAGGTGGCATACATTGCATTCCCTCCTCCTACTTTTCACACCGCAACAACCCTGTGATGTAGGTTGGGCTGTGTGTGCGTGCATGAGAGAGAGAGAGAGACTGCCCAAAGTCACCCACTATACTTCCTTAGCTGAGGGTAGACAAAAATCTGGGTGTCTCTGCTCCTTAACACCTTCACTGCTACACCCATTGGCTGTGTTGAGGATTTTCGTTGGACCTATTTCCTTCCTAGCCCTCTGCTATCTGCCTCTCTTCCCTTTCCATTCAAGCAAGCTTTCTCTTCTCTTCCCTAATCCCAGTTTCTTAGAAAACGTATATCAAGACATCTAACCCAAACCTAAAATAGGATAAATTATTCAGGGTCTTGAATTTGTTGTGTATTAGGACTTTCAAGGAATAAATTCTGGAATGCAGAAAAATGTCTTTTACTGAGCATCTGTAAATGGTGATTTACTTTCTATGGAATCTCTAGTCCTTGTTGACTGTCCATGCATAGCCTTGTGCAGATTAAGATGCAAAGTCACAAGACATAATTCAACATATGGAACAACTTCACTGAGCTCTTGGACCAGCAGTTCCTAATTAAGCTCAGGTCTTAGTTTTTTTTCCTTACTTTAAGAAAATCTAGTCCCTGCCCATGAAAATCCACTTTTGGGCCCCTCTCCTTCATTTCTTTTTAACAGCTCTGAACCTGACAGTATTCACTGCTTCTCTGCTCCCTCCCCACTGCAATATGCAAGGGTTTCACTTCTTATTGCTTGCTCCCATCCAGGGCTGCATTGTGCTTAGGCTCAACCTACAGATTTGCTTTCATAATGATAGGCTGTTATTTTTTTGTTTTAGTGCAACATAGATCTCCTCCTTGAATATTCCCAAAGAGAAGCAGACTTTTGTAGAAGGAAAGGATGGTTAGCTTGAGGCCAGAGACCAGTAAGGTTGGTTTCTTTGGGGCTGAGAAGGAGGTAGTTCTGCTGAAGAGAGGAGACTTTAAAATAATACAGGTACAGGCATAACATATCCTTCATTTTTTCAGCTGCTTGCTATCTAGAGCCCACCCCACTTCCTTTCTAATACTTCTGTTATTTGTGGAATTGTAAAGTGATCATAGGAACTAGATACTTGAGATCCCTCATCACTTCCATTCCTCCTAAGCCATGGTTGAGGAGAGGTATGGGATTTCATAGTGCACCAATATCCCTCCAACCCTGCAGTGCACAATGTTTGGACACTTCTTGGTACTCAAACTAGAGTGTACTGTAGATTGCATTGCCCTCTATCTTCATGGATACCATCGTTGTAGAAAGAGGAGAGAAAGTATCAAGCTGGGAAGGTGGGGAGCTGCAGTGTGAATGCCCCTAATGTACATCTGCTTAATCGTGAAGTAAGATCCTTCTGTCTTGACAGTGTCTTTTTCCATCCATGTTGCTGACAGGTACAGGACCTGCCTGAGATGTTTTACTATCCGTATCAGTACCCTATTTTTTTCCCCCTGGAGTGGCTCAAGAAGTTAAATCCCAGCAGGAAGTTCCACAGTCACCATGACTTGAGTCTGTCTGCTTTTTGACTGTGTTAGTAGAGGCATTACTTCCAGCAGTTTTCAGAATATATTTGTTCTCTGTAAATAAGCTGCAAGACTCTTTTGTTCTCTAGAGAAGCATTATTCTTTCATGTTGATGCATGATAAAATCTAGCCTGCAGCTCTTGCTGGACTCTCTCACACTTCTATGACATATAGTACCTACCACTTGCTTGCTGGCAATTTTCAGTGCTGAATCCCACATGTATTTTTAAAAGATATTGCGTACTGAAACTTTGGCAACCGTAGCTGATCCCTTAAGGGCAATTAGACAATTTGTTGTAATTAATAGGCAGGACAAACCATTCCAGATCTATTCCAGACTTCTGCTAGAGAGACAGGATCAGTGAGGCAACCTAGTACTTTCCAGATATTTCAGACTACAAGTCCCAGAGGTCCCAACCAGCATAGCAGATTGTGGGGGTTGTAGTCTATCTGGACAGTAACAGATTACCTCCCCCCTCTCATTCTGCTGGCCAGATGGCAGCCCATCTACTTAGAAATCCTCCAGTGTTTTGGCTGGGGGGCACCTTTTGAATTTGGTGAGCACTAAGTCTGCTGAGTGGCTTCCCATTCAGAACATGGCTGCTCTGGTCATATGGCCTTTCACAAACCAAAACTTTAGAAGAGACATGGAAACACAGATCTCTGGCCCTACAGTAAGTCACATAGTTGTTGAGAATCTGTTGCAGTCTTTGGGCCGAGAGTGAGCAGTGGAGTTAAATATTGGTCAGATATGGGGGCAAGATGGTTTTACATTGGCTTTTCAAGCGGTGTCAAAACCCGTTCGCCAAAAATCCATGGTACTCGATACACTATCTGTCTGTGAGGTATTGTATGATGGCTATCAATACACAAAACATACCTACACAAATGGCCAATTATTTATAAAGTATTAAGAGTAGTATTAGTTTAAACAGGACTTTGAAAAGAAACATCCCTTCCTGGTTGCCTGAAGGTAGGTCTGATTTATTGTTTGTGACCAGTTGAGTGTCCACTGACAATTTGGTATTCTGTCAGTTTCAGCTTTCTTGGTTTATTGCCAACACTACCCTGAGATAAAAAGTATTTTTAAACACGTGTAGTAGAGGAGTAAAATCAAAGGTTGTGTGTAGTGCCAGAAACTCTTGCATGTGGCCTCTCCAAAATTTCCCAAAGTTATCGTCAAGCTGTAATTTTCAAAGTGGCAGAAAGAGGAAACAACTAAATACACAACTGGAGAGTAATCATGTTGATTGTTCGCTTAATTAAATAATAGAAAAGAAATACAGTTTTCTCTTGGTCCTGTTATTTGGGGGGGGGGGAATTATCCGCTAAGACCAAATGGGGTCTTTGGCCTGGAAAAATTGGCACAACCTGAGGTATAAAGATGAGGCAATATCTTTCAAACGGGTAGAATGGAAAGGTTTTAGATCCAAAGCCTTGGGTCCAGGCAACCTCTAATTCATGGTCAGAAGGATCCAATAATTTCTCATTCGGATGCACCATGAAATATCTCCTTCCTTTTCCACCCCTCAGGGCAACAGAATCCTCCTCCCTCTTCCTAATCCATCGACTGAGGCAGTGGCTTTGGTGCCCATATTGGGTAATAACGCCTTTCTCCAGCCAACAGCTGCACCCCTATCAGATTCCCTGCTCTATCTCTTTCACCTCCTCCCCCTGCCCCAAATCTTTCACCATCTTCACCAGCAGCTGTTTATCTCTGCATGGACAAGTGGCACATAGCTGATAGCCTCATTTCAAGGACACCACGTCCTCTGATAAATTGTAAACAGAGATGGCCAGAGACTGTTTCATGCCTGAGGCAAGAAGTCCAACAACACTTTTTCCCCCCTTACATGTGACAAAATAGTAATAAATAAATGAACAAAATGGATGCTTTTTCAAAAACATCCTAGCATCTGTCACTTGAAACAAAGACAGACCTACCATTAAGCCAAATGCAATGGTTGACTTGAGCAGATTTGGGTGGTTACAACAGGATGGAAATTAGACTGGTGTTTGCATTGTTTTTGGCCATTTTATGGCCAGAGAGAGAGTTGTGGGACTTTCAGTTCCAAATGCCAAGTCATTTTGCAAATTTTGGGTCTTTTGCATCTTGACAAGTGGGTAGAGAACATCATTTTGCTCAGACAATAAAAAGTCTTGGCTGATCCTGAAGCAAGTTGCCGTAGGCAGCCCACAGCTTCTAAGAGAATCCTCATACACTGCTCCAGCCTGTTTCACAGACGCTAATTTACTCTTCGCTCTTAATTCCCAAACTAATTGGGTTGCCA